GGTTTAAGGTTCAGGGTTTGGAGTTTAGGGTTTAGGGGCTTAGAAGTTTTCGTTGTAAGCATCTAGGGTTTAGGGTTTCGAGCTCTTTCCGAAGGATCGGGAAAAAGATGGGGCCAACGTGGCTCACAGGGTGGATGACTTGGAGTTTAGGTTTCGATGCATTTGTGGTTTCAGGTAGACGTGTCCGAAGCCCGACCCGAACCTCCTCAATCCACTGTAGTGTTTGCGAGGAAGTTCACGGAAAGTTGATGTGGTGCGGTTTCAGTTTCTCTCGAGTTTCTTGTTCGCACATGCAGCACGTACGTACTCTTGCGAATGCAGCTGAGCATGATCCGGCACACATGGCAGATGCGAAACAAACATCTTCTGACAGCCGATGCCAGGCTGCCAATGACATTTTGCGGCGGCTTCCTGGGCAGTTCGACCTCGAAGAAGTGCAGAAGAGGCCAGGATTCACAAGTCGCTAGACTTGGGCTGGAGGTTAGGACGATGAGGGTTTCAGGTCTCCGGAAAATTAAAATATCCCTTGTTTCGAAGGTTACAGTACAGCCTTCACCTCAAGAGCGCAGATTGGTATAGTGTGTCACCAGGTGATCGATGGGTTGGATAATGAGCAGGTATCCCACCATGTACGAGGAGTCCATGAACACCGTGCTCATTCAGGACACTGTGCTGGCTAGGTCTGGTGGGGGGACGACCATTTCCGGAAAGCTTCGTCTGGGGGGAGAACCGGACATTGTTGGAACAGTTCCAATGTAAATTAAATTGCTGCAAGAGAACGACTGTTTGCATGCACCGCTCTGACCGAGCTCTGAGTGGTTATGACAGTTCGTGACACTACCAAGTTTAGCCAGCATCTGTGATCCGAAGATCTGACGCTTGCATCCAGCTTAGCTGTGTCGCACAACGACTGCTCAAGGAGCTCACTCGCTTCAACGGCCTGACGAAGGTAATCACAGCGACCCTGAAGGATCCAGCAAGGGCTACGAAGAGCCGTCTTCCCAAGCTGTACTTTGTCATATTCATCAGCACGTCTGCGCTGCAGCATTTTTTGCGGCTGTCGATATCTGTGCGTGATCATTGAAATTCCGCCAATTTGGAAAGGACATCCAGAAAGCCATTCAGGGCCTTCTGCTGATGAGACGGGCCCTTGGTTGGAAATCCGTAGCAGTAGCTAGGGAGTACATGTGTGGAAGCTACGAATCAATGCTCAAAAGCGAACTGGGGTGCAGTTGCTCGATCGTGCGAGTGGGTTGAGAATGGTGCGAAACTGCGAGCCTTGAACAGCGGGGATGCGACACAGCCATGGCCTGCTGGTGTGTACTTCCTGGTATCATGTTAACAGAGTTCGGAATGCTATCGATGATCAGGAGCCCAGTATTCATGCTAGACTGAAGCTCCTCCAACAAGATGCCATGGGCTGAGGCCCAGACTTGGAGCAAGTCTTCCTGTCCATTTTCAACGGCAAGACGCCGGAGCCCTTCTGGAGCAAAGCCTCGGCCCAGGCCCATCCAGAGCTCCTTTGTTCCGAGGCCAGCGATGTGGCTGGCAAACAGCTACCCGTCACTGAAGCCGCTGGGTGGCTACACAAATGTGCCTCGGAATTGAAATGGTTTGTACCGTTTCGCAAACCGATCTCTCCTTGGTATTTGTTGATATTTATTTTCAGATTTGTATCATATGATATCAGGGTTGAGAGGACACCGAGGCCTTGGATCTAGTTCGCGCTGTATCGAGAGTTTCTAGGTCCTCGAACTCTGCGCATGCAAGCTTGGAGCACGAGTAAAAGCATGCGAAACCCGATTCTTCATGGTGTCCAGGCCTGAGCTGCGCAATGCGAACCTTGATCGCCGGTTCTGTAGTGGATTGCCTGATGGCCCAGCTCAGCGAGCACGCCACAATATCCATGGGCCTCAATTTGGGCTTGATCTAACCAGGCCCTCGAAGCCTCTCAACTCCTCTTCCCTAAAGTTACTCCCAAAACTCTGGAAACACTGAGGACCTGATTGAGCGATTGAAATTCTTCCAGGCTGCACGTGCTGGATCAGGAAATAGGAGCATGTCGCTTGCAGCTTTGGCACTTGACGTCCACGGCTCTGCTGCAGATCCATCCCCTTGCATAGGGCACAAGGCATCATTCTCACTGTTTCGCTGCACAGATTTTCGAGGACAACTTAGACAAGCCTGCAGCCTACCTGCACAGGCCTGGATTGACAATGGCATTCCCGTGACCTTCTGGCTCAGTGGCATCTACTTCACCCAGGCAACAAGCTGCCTGCTCATGGCATACTGTAGAAAAGCTTCTTGCCTTCGAGGAGGAGCTCGGATGCTCCCTATGAACCCGTGCTGAACCAACCGGATGCGGTACTCTCACTTTTGATTCAACTTTTGATGCTTAAGACAGAACAGGGAACAAGCCCAAGGGCCTAAGACTAAGACGAAGAGCCACTCGACGCCGCCAGCCGCAGGCCTTCACGACGGGTGCCGCCCAGAACTTCGCACGAAGGCAGGCCGACGATGCAAAGATGTTCTGTGTCCGTCTGGGAAAACGAGCATGCCAGCTTTTGCGCTGGTGTGATTCATGTTTTGGCTTTTGTCCCATTGGTAAAAGCTGACGAGGACAAGCAGGAGCAAGGAGTGAAGTGTTGGAGTTGTGGTCCTCATGGTCAGGGACTTCAGAGCCCCGAACCTTACATGATCGAACCGATGCTTGATTCATATGATGCTCCCAAATGTATGTATCTATTCATGTGTGTGTGTGTGTGGTTGCTTCAACTGTCTGTTTTTGTCTTGCTATTAGATAAGGGCTCTGATGTATTTATATCTCTTTGTCTACGCTTCGTGGGTAACGGGGCCAGGTACACCATTCCAATAGACACCCTGGTTTTCGACTACGAGATGCCGCAGGAGGGAACTGTTACGGCTGAGGGCTGCGAACTTTGAGTTTGGCTTCGGGCTTCGGGTTTCAGAAAGCTTCCATATCGGAGATCCTCCAGTGGTGCAGGCTTCGGGGTCGTTGCTCAATCGTCTGCTGCTGTCCCTTCTATGCTTGAAAAGGGCTGGGGGGTCGAGACTGGAAAGGCTCGGACGGACTTGATCCAGTTTTGCATTTTTGCCAGGATGGGCATCATTTGAGCAACAGCTGCACATTGGTATCGCACACATCTGTTTTGAACGAGAGCTGCCGGTATATGCTGTTGGATTAAACATGTCAGTGTGGAGCCAGTGGCAGTTTTATAATGTTGTATCGGCAATCGCCTCCGACCGTTGGATATATGATCATGGACCAATTGGGCACACCTCGACCAGTAAAATCAGAATTCAGCCCCGTACTGGTGGCTGGCATTGGCTGGCAGAGGATCTGATGGCACTCTGCAACCCAGCGTCCGCGGTGCCTGCCATGCTCCTCCAAAGGACCAGCATCCTGCTGCAAAGCCGGACAATGGGGCCCTGGCCTTATCGATGGCTTCTGCAGTTTTGCTGGTCAATGCCTTGTGGGTCATGGGTGGGGCAGGGTCCTTTCTCGCGTTGCGTTCTTGTTAGTTGAAGCGGCACACCACAGCAACCACCCCGATTGAGCTTTCGTTGTGACATGAGTGCAGAACTGCACAAGACCTGAGCCGCAGGGTGTAGGATAAACGAACCTGAGCTCAGTGTCGAACACAATTCTGTTCCAAATTGACAGCCTTGGCGGAGGCCACTGCAATCTTAGCCGATGTCAACATCTGGAGGATAGTCATGTGGATCACTACCTTGTCCTACATCAACAAAGGTGTCGTCTTCTAGTTCAGGGCGTCGACTTCGGTTGCAGAATGCGATCCTGGCTTCTGCATCCCATTTCAGGCTTCCATCTAGAACCACCGGTGTCAAAGGTCTACTGCTATGGCCTCTTCCTCGAGGGATGCAAATGGGACTGGAGCGAGCACGGCGCTGAGAGAGGAAGGGATTTGTTGAGATAAGTTGTCTTGTTAGGCACGATTAGGCAAGCTTCTTCTTCTTGCATTCACGCAAGTTGATGCTCGGCGAGTGCAAGTTCACGTGCTTGCGCTGTGCTAGAGGCTATCGCTAGACATTCAAAGGATTGGTATCGTAATGGCTTACACAGATACACGAACTCATTCGGAAGGAGTGTGTCGTTGAAGATCTCGTAAAGTACTGTTCATGATGGCCTCATCCTGTGTTTTTTCTAAAAGACTTCACAAGGTTTAAACACACATCACGTGCTACTAGTAGCATGGATTTCAGCGATTACAGCCATGGCCTTGTCTCAGCTCTTCCTAGCTGCTCGCACCTCCGATCCGCCGTTCTCGAGACCCATGGTGCTACCTAGAAGTTCCTAGGGCCCTCGACGTAGCACGCTTGCATGTATGTTAAATAAATAAATAAGTAAATAAATATAAATATAAATATAAATATAAATATAAATATAAATATATGGTCGCCCCCCCCTCCCATGACACGCACCTATCCATAAAACCTCGGCAGGCACGATGAAAATGGCTTTTTTCCTCGAATCGATTTCGATGCGTTTAAAAAAGCAGCTTGACAGTATGAGTATTCATCTTAGCATCGGTGTGTTGATTAGTAT